AGCACTGAATCGGGACATTACAGATCAAGCCGCTGGTAACAAATCAAATGCAAGAAAAAGCACACATTGTCAAGAAAAAATTGCCGGAGATCGTCGGAGCGCCGAGAACCAGGAACCGCAGCACATACAATAACAGCAGTCAACAGAAAACATGCAGGTCAAGAATAAAATACAGCACTGAATCGGGACATTACAGATCAAGCCACTGGTAACAAAAATCAAATGTAACAAAAAGCACACATTGTCGAGAAGAACCTGCCAACGCTCGTCGAGTTGCTGGAGTGGAGCTGGAAAGGAGATCGTCGGAGCGCAGAGAAGCAGGAGCCGCAGAACTGAAGGCAAAATAAAAAGGAGCAGGTTAACGGGATATCGGACTTGTAAATAATGAAATATAAAAACACTCAAATTGAACAATAAACCATGGGAAAACACCAATACATCTCAGTCCTACTACTCCATTATTTAGAAAATACGTTCGGCCACACAGAAATCCAATGCTACTTGTAAATACAAGTCCAGGTAACAGCATGTAAAATATTCAAATAAACTCGGCTTTGAAAACCACCGATAAACTTTGTTGCTATTATCCATCTTTACACAATGCATTCAATAGATGAATAAAAGTATCATAAAAAAGAACCTGCGCCTTAGAGTTTACTCCACAAAAGCACCATGAAACGAAAAGAAGTGATTAAGTTGGTAGAAAACTGTTCTTTTGTTAAAATGCTGGGAAATACGTGTTGTTTTATCGAGTCACACAAATAGTTTAGCGCAAGGTAGGGACAGAACTTACCTTGGAAAAAACTCTTTCATAAGTGGAGGTCCGTTCTTCAAATCCTTTTGTTACCTGGAAAAATAAAGAAAAACTTACGAATTAGTCGGTTTAATCTTTACAACATTTTAGCATTTCTGCGTTATTATAGTCCGAATCCGAAGAGTAGAGATTACACAGCAACTGACTTTACAGCACATGTTTGAAGACAAATTACAGGTTTTTTCGTTAAAAGAAGAGCTAGATATACCATATTTAAAAAAGATATATACTTACATGAAAGGTAGTACAAGAACGCTGAACGCAAACTTTTAAAACTTCGAGAGCACGCTCAAACGAGCAGGAGACTCTTTTCGGCGTCCTAAAACACACATTAAAGAGAAACAAAAGCAATTAACAAAAGTTGCAATAACAATACATTTATGTCTAACTGTATTCAAAGTGAAATTTGAGTTTTTACATTAAAAAAAGGAAAATTTGAAATAAAACGCAAACGTACCTCACGACGCAGCAACTCTCCCCGCTGCCATCTTGCCGGGCGCACCTGTGGAACAGGTGGACGGGGCGTGTCCGCTGAGGAAGGTCACTCTGGGGGCGGGCTCGGCTCCTGAATGACAGCTGTGCGCTCGGTTACAAGGGCTCAACACTCACGCTACTGAAGATAAAAAGAAACTTGAACTCACCAAATCATACATAAAGTATAAAACGGCTGAAGATTTTCAGACAACCTAACACAGTAGCATTCCCCTACGAGTCTGATTGCTGGACTCGTTTAGCTTGCGGCCAGCTGGTCGAATCAAGAGAAATGTGCTGGAGAGAGACCCCTGTCGCTCCTAGTTAGGACTGCACCTCTCTTTCACTGCTAGTGCCACACCCGTCCTGCAGGTGTCTCAGTGGTATAAGGGGCTGCTTTTTAGAATTGACTTCCGAACTACGCAATTATAAAGGACTTAAACCCCCCATTTGCCCTGTTTTGGAAGGCCCCGAAAATGGAGCCCCCCAAAACGGCCGGCGTGGTAGAGAACAGCCCCTTCGACAAACTCACCCCGACAGCATGAGAGCTTCACCCGGGGACTAGGTCTCAGACCGGGGATTAGGTCTCAGACTGACGGGGAGGCTCGGGGCTCGACTTCAACTCACAGGACTCTCCGGGAGACGATCCGATGTCCGATGGTTTAGCCCGCGGAGCCACCAGGCCGGCCATGTAGAATACCGGCCATGTACATCTCTTATTCAGCCTAAAGCCAAGTCACAGTCCCGAGACGAGGCGGTTTCCCCTGTTTGCTCTATCACCAGACGTTATTTTTTTTTAAATGTCTGTAATGATTCTAAAGACAACTTTAATAAAACTACATGGACGATGAAATTGGTCTAAATGTTTTATACCCCAGCTGGTGTTTGGGCAGAGTATCCCTTTAGTTCCTTAAGAACAGTAGGTGTCACGCCAGTATATTTATATTTCCATGGGCGTTTGACAAGGTTCAACATAGAACTTTGAAGATTAAAGATTTAAAAATCAAAAGCCAAGGATGTAAATAGAAAGTGAACTGGTGTATGCATAGAAAACAGAATAGTGACAAGGATGTCATAACTAGTTTTGCAATCAATGGGGCATCACATCGCTTCTTATTATTACTATGAGAGACGCTATTATTTCATATACTATCATATGTGAAAGTTATTGCAGTCAAATGCACAGTGCAGGTAGTAAGGTGTTGTTTATGAATATCCGACAGCTGACAATAAACTAGTGGAAGCAGAGTTTTATATTAACTCATAAGTATCATCTCTAAAAGAAAGAGATGCAAATTCATTTTGATTAATTAAAAAGTCAATAAAAGTCTATATCGTGTTCTACACTGTATACACAGGTTCTACAGTGAAAAGGGAACCACGGTCAGTGAGTGACGTACAGTACAGTAATCACAGTACAGTAATCACAGGTGAGACTGACTGTCAAACACTAACAGTATAATTCTTACTGCTTGACCCAAAGCTAAAATACAGGAATTCTGAAACACTGTTTCTGGCGCAAGGGTGTCGCTAACTTCTAACTTTTACTATTGATGATAGATGGGGATGAACATTGTATTTTGAATTAAACTGTAAACAGATCGTAAATCCTCAATTAAAGTTTTAATAAGGTTATTTCATCAGCGGTGTAGTTAAAAGTATGGAATGGGATTGACTCCAATTAATTGTCGGAAAGACTGAGGGATCCATGCCAACTCCAGAATCCAACCCGTGTGTTACCCATTTCTGATTAATTAACAGTCCAGAGCCAGGTGTGATTAATCTTTATCCGCCTTCAATTAGTCTCCTTTAAAAATTGCTCTGGCAGCAGTATTGCGTCTTTGTCCTTAAATAGCGACTTTGCACCAGCAGAAAAATAATGCGGCCAGGAACAGGAGTTTAGAAATGGCTTTCAAAGAGATGTTGAATTCAAACTAAACCATCACCTTTCGTATTTTTAAACAGGCGAAATGGAACGGATCAATGTTGCTGCTATTTAAAATGGCTACCTGTATCTTTAATGCTTGCTCAGGTCTGTTAGTGGTGTTTCAGCAGGTGTCTTATTCCCTAGTTCCTCCTCTCCAGCTCCCCGGCCTTCCTGTCCTCTACAACAGCCTGGACGCCGAAGCGCAGAGCTCCCGTGTGGCGTGAAACTGGACAGATGAGCGGTCAGTTCGAAGGTGAGAATCCAACCGGTCTGCACTCTGCTTGCAGAGCCTCTTGCTTTCGGGTTTAAAGAAAGAGCGTTGTGTTTGTAGTCGGAGAACTCCCAGGACTAATTGACTGTTCTCAGTATGGCAAAGCAGTAGATTGTGAAGAAGCCCACAGCTGCGTTCACTTAATCTAAGTGTGGTGAAAATATCACGTTGAACATCTCCCTGCGAATAAACCTTATTTTTGCTTTCCAAAAGTGGTGCTACCTTTGTATAGGCTAAGGCGAGAGGCCAGAATTTGCGACTATATGTCTTAGAAACGCTTTTACTCCCCTGTTCAAGCAGCAGCAGCCGGACTCACCTCGCGGTCCCAGGTGCCCACCGTCTCTCCGGCCGGCTGTCCTGACTGGAGCGTTTCCTCTCCCGGGGCTCCAGACTGCGGACCGCCGGAGCGTCTGGATAACAGCCGGCCGAGTTACGACTGGACTGTTTTGTTCAGTTTTTACAATAAACTAGTATTTGTTTCGTTCCTTAAATGTGACTTTCAGGGTTGGGTATCTTTGTGTGGTCACTTTATGGACGAAGAGTGCATCCCCACAGGGGATCATCCTCCTCTTTCTTTTAATAAGCCTACATGCGTTTTTTTTTTTTTGCTCCTGCAGGCTGCTCAGAGTGCCTGTCAGTCATAAATGTTGGGTGCTTCATCTTCATCCATGGCAGTTGCTGCACAAGCGTCTTACCTGCACCTTGCCTGTAAAATTCCAGCTATTACTTAAATAGATAAAGGCATGCAGCCTGTGGACAAGCATTTGCTTGCTAACATAATGAACTTGCATTATTCCTGTTGGTAAAATTGAACACCCTTGCATTTGCTTATATCACAACCCCCTCTAAGTGAATATTGCTCTTGTGCTGACCATAAGGAACTGGACGAGCAACTCCAGCCTTGAGCTCTAGTCCTGCTTGCAGCTTGACTCCTGAGAAACTTAACACGCAGGAGAGACAAGAGACTCCAATGTTAATTGCAAACAGTCTCATGTAGGAATGTTTGTCGTTGGCAAGATTTTGAAAGGAAAATGCAAACATCTCAGAAAAGCTTAATGTGGTTTCCTGTGGATGAGCACAACATGAGGAAAAATGATCACAGTCCTGTATGAGCAGAGCAGCCTGTCCTCTGAAAGATCATTACATGGTTAATTAGCACCTGTGTGATGCTATACCACACACCCACTATCTGCTCCACAGCACTACAGCTGTGAACACCCTTCCACATTAGAGTAGGCATTGTGAGGACAGACTCAAGCGTTGAAGCAACTTAATTTTTAAAGATTAAGTTATGTACAGTATATGCTGAGAGGAAGAAGCACTCACAAACTCGTCAAACATTTAACAGTGACAGAAAAACTAACATTTAAGGGTTTAATGTGCATGAAGCAGAATCCAACTCAAAAGCTTTTCTTTACAGCAATATTCACTGTTTATTACTTTAGAACAAATACATATCAAATGTAAATCAATCTTAATGTCTTTCTGGGTTTCAGAGATCTGTCTAATCCCCACATCATAGACATAATGAAAGAAACTGGAAGCTTACTCGGAAAAAGACATTTTGTAAAGAAAACCATTCTTGATTTGTTTAAGCCAGTTTACTTTTCCTTTCTTTCAGAAAGCAAAACATGAAACACTGAACTATAAATTGATTCTTTGAAGCACAAGAGACAAAGAGATACAAGGTTCAAATGTGTTACTCCGGTGCAGAGCTATGTTTATGAAAACAGAGAATGTGTATTAACAGATACAATGATCAGTATATTGTTTTCCTAACAATTCAATCTTGTTCATATCAACATTTGTCCCAAAAAATTAGTAATGGTCTATTTTTTTCTCCCTTGCATCATTCCTCCCTCTTAATGATGTAAGAACCTGCTGTTCAGAATGACCTCTCACGCAGGTGAGGCTGCAGACTGTTGAGTGTCCAGGTGGTCCTCATGATCCCCCTAGCTCAGGGACTCAGGGGAAAGGCCTGATTGTCAGCACTGTTGAGAGTTGAGAAATACAATCATTCCATCAATCAATACAGGGCACTAATATATACTGTATATATACAGACACCCACATTTAACTGCAGATACAAATATAATCCCCACACTTCAAAACAACTCATGACAGGTTTTCTGTAGAATTGGGTCGTCAGCACAGGGAGGGACAGTTGCTCAAGCCTAGAGGCAAATATAATCAATACAAAGTCTATTGTTTAATCATTATATATGATAAAGTGTATATCGTTATGTAATTTATTATCTCAAAGAACTGTGCTATAAACAAATTGCCAGAGAAGCCTAACCTAATTAAAGCTGTCTAAAATAACAGCAAGTGTCAGGGATGGATTTCTGTTAGGACAACGTGGCCCTGAAATCATACCATTCATGCTCATAACCTTTTATCTCATCTAAATCATGGGGTTAGTCTGGACTCGACATGCTTAGTACAGTAGTAAGCCCAGGAGCATGTACAATTACCTGTTAGCAATACTGAATCCCAGTCTAAGTTGAAATGACCTGTCTGAGCCCTGTTGGACCCAGGATATTTAAAGTCTCTGTACTGGGGCTTTGGTATGGAAATTATGGGCCACAGGGAAGAGTGCCACCTACTCGGCTGTCAAAACAGACAGCCAATATGCAAATAACAACATAACATTAAAACATCTTAACTTCTTTAAAAAATACAACCTCTGTTTCACCTTCAAATACCTTGCCTTTGTATTGATGGTCCAAGTGAATTTTTACACAATAACAGTGCCAAGGCATTTATATTCTTTTAACATCTTTCAATATCTTTTCCTTTCACAGTTACTTGAACTTGAACTTGAACTTTATTGCCATATGTAACCGGTACTGGTACAATGGAATTCTTACTTACAGAAAGTCTCTCGATTATAAAACAAGTGTAAAAAACAAAACAAAGTGCAAACAGTGCATCAAGACAATGTACAAACAAACAATAGACAATGTGCAAGTAAACATGCAG